TATTTTAATTTCCTTCCCTTCAACAACACTAGTGACATACAACTCCCCTTTACATTTTGCTTCAAGATAAGTTCCAGACTTGGCTACTTTGATTTTAATAGGCTGTTCTAATTTCTTAAAGTTAGAGAGACATACCTCATTACTGTTAACCAGATGTTCTGTTGCTCCAGAGTCTAATATCCAATTTATGGTATCTGCTGAACAGTCTTCACTTGATGCTCCAAAACAAAATGCGGCATCTTCCTGTTTGGTGTCGACCACGTTCGCAGAATTATTTTTCTTTGATGGGTTCTGTGGTAATTTGACTCTGCAGTTAGCTCGTTTGTGTCCAAGCTTTCCGCATCTGTGACAAGTGAAATTGAACGAGTTGCCAGAAGTTCCTTGATTTCCTGGAAAAATTTTCTTTTTCCCTGGTTGAGACTGGAAGGCAGTAGGAGGTGATGTACAATCAAATTCAATTTTTCCAACGCCCCTCCTCTTTGTCTCCTCTTCCAGCAGTCTGACCTTCACAAAGCTTAGAGATAAGTCCTTCATTGATAGAGTCTCTATGGCCGTGACAACGACGTCATATTCTTTGGGCATGGTCAGTAGTAGATGACAAACAATGTCAGATTCCTCGACAGTTGCTCCTGTAGATCGTAACTCTCTTATGACTTTGTCAAATTTCAGAAAGTGACGATTTAAAACATCATTCTTCGCATCAAACTTCATTGTTAGTAACTGCTTCCTTAGTAGAAGTTGGCTAGCTATTCCTTTCCTTTCAAATGTGTTGCAGAGAGATTGCCATAGTTCAAAAGCAGTTGCCTTGTCTTTTGCATATTCCAAATGGCTGTCGTCAATACGCTGTATAATCTGCGACTTGCACTTTCGATCTTGTTTCGCTAATTCCAACAACCTTGCTTCCTTCCTCTCTCGTTGTTCATCTGTGTCTTTATCCAGAAATTCAACTTTGGTAACATAAGATTCCTTTACAAAAGATAATAATTCTAATTCCTCCAGCAGAGTTTCAATTCTAAATTTCCAATTGCTGAAATTGGTTCCATCCAACAATGGTATTCGATACTTTTCATGTTCAGTTGCCATATTAATTCAATTTCATTAGCCAGGTAAAAAAATATTAACAAATTCCGTATTTAAACAGCCCTGGGCCCATAACCTGTAAATATGTGGTTTCCCTGGATACTAAATTAAAATACCTAGCTCAATAAAATAAAAGGGCAAACTGAATTATTAAACTCAACACTTTTTAATTGAACCAACTAAAGAAGACATAGATTAAAACTATTATTGTTTTTAACAACACATTTAACAATTTAACCATCTGGTATTCATCATTGAAGTATAACATTAAAAACAGACATGTGGCAAATATTAAATTGCACTCAACAATTTATACCATTACATTCTGCATTTGATGCAGATTACAAATATATAAACATCATTGTACTTAATCTTTGTTATTGAAGGCTAGGAGCGAGTTAACAACTTCGCGCACTATTCGATGAATTGGCTAAAATCCGCTGGGTCCCCCAAGGTGGTGCGGGAAGGCTGCTACGACGGCGCGCTTTCGTGAACACGCACCTATCATTCCAGTTGTGTTATATACTTCGATGCTGACACTAAACAATCCTACTTGCGACGTTGTCAATTCTACCAAGCCGCGGCCTGGAGTTAAAGGTGACCGTGCCAGTTGCCAGTGCTACCAGTTGCCACTTAGAAAGCCGCGGTCCGAAGTTAAAGGTGGCCGTGCAGCAATCCAAATAGTGAACAACGAAGTTGCATAGTAAGCTTTGCCAGCCAATTGGCAGGTTAAAAAAAAACAGACCACACATTCCTTTTTTTTACACTCGACGTTCTGTACCCACGAGCACCTTAGCTTCCACAAGCACAGAAGGCCTTCGAACAGTTCCTGGGATAACAGCTATTTGTGTAATAGCTTCACTGTATATCTTTATTGGACCTGTTTAGATAGTTGTTTTTTCATCAGTTACAGTTGCGAACTGTGCATTGTGATTTTGTAAAGGTGTTTACCTAACCCGCCATGTTAAACTTCCCTATCCTAAGCGTGATGTATACAACTTCCTTACTTCTCGAGTGATGTAAGGTATCAAAAAACTCACTCGGTGATGTAATGAAACCCATTTAAATAACATTGAGTGGATAACTTAAAAAATATAACTCTATGGAGCCAACGACGTTTAACGCTAGGAATCGCGTTGAATTTTATTGTTATTGTTATGTTTTGGAGAATTTTCCTAACCTAGCTTTTGTTTGTAAATGAACCTTACTCTGTTATAAGATGAGTGAAATGGGTATTGAAAAATATTGTTCGTAACCTCCTGTATATTGTCGGGTCAGGTAAAATCTTGTACGTTACACGTTACGCAAGAGCGTGTTTACATCACTTAGGTAAATTATGCAACTCGCTTCGCTCGTTGCACAACTTTCACCTGCGTGATGTAAAAACGCTCTTACTACACTTGTAATGTAAATAGCTATTACTCTTTACTGTTTGTTTACTTTTGACTTGAGCTGCTTGAAAAGGTGTTTTTATGATTGAAAATTAATGTTTTGTGAGTGGGCTGAAGCTGATTTGTTGTTAGGTATTGACAATTATCCTAAATGTTTTGCGTACATGAATTATTAATGAAGTTTTAAAAGATTAAAGTATTTATGAAGTTTACTTAACCTATATTTTTCGGATTCCTCAAGAGAGAGTGATTGTTAGGTTAGGTTAGGTGTTTGTGTGTGAATTTGTTAGATTGCAGGTTTGGTAGTGGTAGGTCTATAACCTCTAAGGTAAACTTAGGCATACTCTTATAAATAGATAAGTTATTAATTTAACTTTTTCAAAGGCAATAACTTAGACCTAAACTCTACTAGTCAAACGCATTCTCTTGGAACAAGCTCCATACACTGTGAAAGATTTTTTAAGTTGCCGATCGAATTAAGATACTGTTTAGTTACGTTTTAGTTCTAACAGCATTTATAATTTAGTTTTATTATATATTCTTGTGACGCTATTATACAGTTTTTTTCTGTGCAAAAATAAAGATGATTTGATTTGATTTGAATAAACACCTTAAAATCACAATGCACAGTTCGCAAGAGTATTATCACGGCCTCCTTTAACTACAGGCCGCGGCGTTCGAAGTGGCAACACCGCATCGGATGGCTGGATGGCTAATCTACGCTATACCACTACACCAGTGAACGCTCGCGCTCGTGCCGCGGAGGATTGGAACAAGCACGCGAATTATCTATTAATTTAGATGTTTTATATCTGATAACACTGATAAGTAGGAAAAGGAGTAAATAATTATGTGAGGCTTTCGTGTCAATACAAGAATGTAATACAATATTTATTCAAACCTTTTACGTTACATTGAACATGATTGAACTTATAAGTAGGCGCATGATTGTAGTTTTCTTCCGCCTCTTCTACGTATTTACTCAATGATTTATTAATTGTTAAACACTTAAAATTTTAATCCTATCTACAATGTTATTTAGTTACAGCTTCTATGTAAGCTATTGTTTTATCATTGGGATGATGACGTTTACTATACAAAGTAAAAATTAACAAAAGCAATAAATAAAATTATTTTATTCAAGAAAGGATTGAAAATTTTCAATGGTTACAGTGGATATTATTTTGGTCTTTTTTTTTACTTTCGTGTAGATATTTAAAAAATATTGCTCATTCTCAAAATAATGTTTGATACTATTTCCTTCAAATTATTTATTCCACAAATGCAAACAGTTTCAGCTATTTCTAAAATATCGATATCTGACATAAAAACCACTGTCACTAAAAACCAGCCAACACAGAAGAACAACTGCACGCTAATTATAGGTACAGGTTGTCGCTAATTTTAGTTATTCGCTAATTCCACCTAATTCAATGAAGATGGTGGTCGCCACGCCACTATTGGTTGATGAGCGCTAAATTTAAAAGTTTTCGGTAGCCCCACCTTCCGATTGTCTGTTGCAAGAATATTATCAATGGATTAGTTATTAATGGTTGCGCAATAACAGAATGAATGAAGTAATGTTTTTATTTCTCATAATACTACATAATAACGTGTAAATAAAACACATACTTAAAATTCATAATAAACTATTATTATGTCGTGCAGTATTTGATACAAAAGTAATATTCTTATGGATAACCAAAAGGAATATTAAAATGCTTGAAATAATTCAGTTGGCCTATATTAATTAATTATTAGCTATGCGATACTACACTACAGTTGCGAGCAGCGCTACTCGCCGCGCCGCGCCATAAAACTGAGATTTGGTCACTCTGTTCAACCCAAAATGTTAACATAACTAAGCATGATAGAAAGAAAAGTTAAATACAAAAATTAAAGTATATTTAATTATCTACAACTTTCACACAGACGAAACTTCTCTGACCAACAAACAAAAATTTTAGTAGGCGACTAACTTTTTCACTTCACTTTTCCAAAAATTTTCTAATGTGTTAATTTAAAAAAAATATATATGCACTACCAAATAACATTTTAATTTTCAAAACCATACCATTGGCATGAAGGGTTTATTCCCTAGCTCTGTACAAAATTTCAAAATTTTATCTCAATTGTAAGGGTGTAAAAATGCAGTATATTTAAACCGCGACCACTAGTTTCGTACTACCGTAATGGTGAAATGGCCGGGAGTTAATGCTCAGTGCGACGTTGCCAATTCTCGCTGGCCGCGGCCTGTAGTTAAAGGGGGCCGTGGTATTATACATCGATGTTCGCAACTGCAACTGTTGAAACAACTATCTAAACAGGTCAAATAAAGATATACAGTGAAGCTATTACACAAATAGCTGTTATCCCAGGAACTGTTTCAGGGCCTTCTGTGCTAGTGGAAGCTAAGGTGTTCGTGGGTACAGAACGTCGAGTTTTTTTTTTTACTGAACAACTGAAACTGAACTGAGTTTAGAGTCGAGTTAGTGCAGACGCAACGCACGCAGGCAGACGAAGTTTGAAGTTACGACAACGACAACAATCTAGCTGGAAGTGGAAATATGTTACAAAACTGTCTTTCTTGTCATGCTATGAGAAAATGTGTCATTAAATAACTTTAAAGATAAGGGTTCCACATTGTTATGAAATCGATGTAGTTACTTAAAATGAAAATGGATCCTGTCAGTGATTCTTATTATGATGGAAGCCGAATATTCAAATGGATTACAGACTACACCAACATATCTATTGACCTGGTAAGTTAAGACCCAGAATCGTTTGACTTCAAATTATTGAGGGCAGTAGGCAATAAGAATTCGTGGCTTGTCAAAACGCTGTTGTATACATAGAGGAACACTGTAAATTTGACATGCTTAAACTTACACTGGTTTATGCCTCATAATGACAGCTTCCTGTACAGCCTAAAGTTAGGTTAGGCCATAGACACTAACCAACAGAAACTTCTCATGCCATTACACATTTTTAAGCTTGTTGTTCATGTCTGGTGACACTAATCCCTAGTGTGGACCGATATAATATCGCAGCTTCTCTGCACAACCGTACCCATGGCATATGCGGAAGATATCTTGTGTTTTTTGCAGTTTTGTGACTGTTTAAAGGTCTAACTTAAGGCCGTGTCACACTTAGCGACTTTTTTCGTCGCTACTAGTAGGCTAGCTGCTACTATTTTAATTACTCACACTCGCAAAGTTAAAATTTTCTCCCCATGTTATTCTTATGGAGTAGGAATAACTTAAAAATAAGTTAATAAAACTGCGTTTTTGTGGCACCTATTTGAGAGAGAACGACTGGGCCTGGAAACTCGGTAGAGGTGTCCAAAGAAAGGTCTTGGTCCGTAAAAGAGCCCTCAAAAGAGAAACGGGGGGACTTCACTCTGCCCCAGTAGCCTCTAAAATTCCATTCCCATGGACTCTTATGGAAGAAAAAAAATAGGGTTTTTGTCACAGCTAATTTGAGAAAACGGCTGGGCGTAGAAACTTAATAAGGGTGTCTAAAGAATGGTTTTTGTCTGTAGATGAACCATCAAAAGAGAAACGAGGTAAATTCCCTTGTGGCTCTACCCCAGAGGTCTTAAAAGTTTCCTCATCAGATTTGTTTACATTATGACTATAATATGAATAACTTAGTTTCACACATTTAATTTTTGATGAATTTTAAAATTGATTTTATTCTGTATCGTGTCATGTTTTGCAATATTATCTTATCTTAAGGAAAGTACCATAATCAGTTAGGCCTAGCCTAAAAATCTTAATATCACAGTAACTCTTAAAATTATTTCTTATCGAGTTAACTTATCCTATCTATTGTACAGTTGGCTTCTACCTTTTTTACCACTTTTGCCTACTTATATTTTATCATACTAGCCTATTTCAGGCAGACCATTAGGCCTATAGATTCATGATATTATTGCCATGTTTTCAATCATTGAAAATTTTTTGACGATTTGAGCGGTGTCCATATTTTGACAAATTAATAGTGGTTTACAGCAACTGGATTGATTTGTTATTAATTTTTTATGTAGGTAAGTAGAAATGTGTGAATGATTTTGAAAGTTATCAAGCTGAAAAATTTGAATTTGCTCTTAAAGTGAAAATTTTGAAAATAACACTGCATCACTTCTTCCATATTCTTAGGTAACATACATTTAATCTGCCTTGTACTGACAAAATCGCGGAAGTTTTTACCACAAAAGATCCATCCACACGATTTTAATACTATCTAATGTTCTTCAAAAGGAAGGTAGGATAGATGAAACAGGTTAAAATAATAATAACTCCGATGACGTGTTGGAAATATTTTATTCATTGAATAATCTAACCATATTTTGTAAATTGCACAATAGCTAGTAGGGCCTATTATTTTTAAAGCTAATTTATTACTCTTTAAACAAAGCTAAATTTTAATGTTTTAATAATTTAACTCTATTTATCGCAGTTAGATGAATTAGCATAGGCCTAAGTCTTGAAAGTAATAAATAAATTTGAAAAAGCTCTCAACTCATAGTACGTACGGTAATTGTATTCTGTTCAGATAAATTTCACCGCTACCCAAATAACAGCGGTGCTGTTGGCACCTTTGTTCAGAGGAGTGCTGCATCCAAAACACACCTCGCAAGAAGTCCGGCACGGCGTTGGCCTGCTTGTGGGGCTCATTATGGGTTATTTTGCCTTTGGCAGGTAATGAATTTATCTTTTTTTTTGTTGAAAATAATTTAGATGGAATAACTTTAATTGGTAATACATATTTTTGCTCCCGAGGCTGTTATCCTATTTTCTAATAAAGCAAACCAACAAGGTTGGTTTTATTAGTCTTGGTTTTTTATTATTGGTGGAAACTGCAATTCACTGACATGTTTAGGTACAATTCTGTACGCTTTTTAGAATCAAAATCATCACACGCTACAACATCCGGATTCCACTTGTCAAATTAAAAAGCTTAAAACATAGGCCTACTGTACTGTAGTTGAACTCAACTAGAAAAGTAAAAGAGTATTGTATTTTTAGTTTTGCTTCGGAAACAAGTTTTTAATTCTAATAATGTGCAATTTGCGCAAAGATTGTGTTCAGCTGATTCATGAGCAGGATAAATCAACATTACACAATGTCACTACACTAAGTAAAGATAAAAGTATGTTGCCTTAATATCTTGTATCAAGTCTGGGAGTATGCACAGGTCTCTGAGGTTTCAGGTTCAAATCCCGCCAATCACCAATAGATTTGATCTACAGTAAGTCATAATGCCGCAACCCCTAGTTCTAGCCTGAATTAATGAGAAAAACAATCCCGACTCTTGTCTAGTGTCCTATGACAAAAAAGATATCTTGTTTCATGTTCTGGTCATTCATATTTAATTTTCTTGTTAGAATTACATAATGTTACAGGCAAGCAGTCCATCTTGCTGGTCTGCCAGCCTTGTGTTACTTGGTGTTACGAACTCAGGACCCTCATATCTTTCAAAGGTAAGCTATTGCTCGGTTTTACATCTATTATTCACCTAACCGATGAAAAGTTTCATTGTGGTGGTATTTTTGAACTGTTTGCTTGTCACAAGGGTGTTTGACGGATGTTTGAGCTTAAAATTTTTTAATACATTTAGAAAAAAAGGCATATCAAGACATTTTTATGTGTGGCTGTGCATTTCCCCCCAAATGAGGCTGCGACAAGCCACATGGACAGTAAGGTAAACACAGAAAACAATAGTAAAAATTGTACAAGTATAAACATTACACTTTTCAATAAACGCTTAGTAATTATATAAATATTACGTGATCATTTGTTTTGAACATTAAGTTAATTCTCAAGCTAATCTTGCTATTAAAAATGCCTCAAGAGCGTGCACAGGTGTGTGATAATACTTGTATCAATCGTGATCCAGAGGGTAAAAATGTGTACAGTAAATGTCTTTTACTCTGTGGTCATTGTATTTATACAGCATGTGTAACAAAGTCAAACCTTTTTTATTTACCGGCTATGCAGTTGTCATAGAAAACCAGGGGTCTCCAACCTTTTTTTGTCAATTTTGTAAGGAAAGGTAGGTCCGACCGTTAACTTTTCAGTGCAGATAACCAAATAACCCTAGGTAGTTTTCTAATTAAGAGCTCAGCGGAGATATTTGACATTTTCTTGCTGATTTTTAGTTACTAAAATATTACTTAATATTCAGTACGTTTTTGTGCGAACGCTGATGTGGCCAATCAAACCCTTTGCGGGCCGGATAAAATCTGTTCGAGGGCCGGATGTGGCCCGCGAGCAGTAGGTTGGAGACCCCTGGTTAAAAATGGTCCATCATTCTAACCTCAAGATGATGCTATGACACTTGACACTATGGTATTTGTTTGATACACTGGTTGGTAGCTGTGATGGTCTGATAGTGTGTGTGTGTATGTATGTTTACAGTCTGGTACTGGCAGTGTCCATGTTCTACCTATCCTGTATTCACATTCACAGACAAATCTACGACTACGGCTCACTTACATTGGACATTACAGGTACAAACCATAACCATAACACTCTCGTCTCAATTGGTTATAAGCTTTTCAAATCACCTTGTAAATATAGGGCGAGTGCACTAGTAAATGACCACCTACCCCCGGTGAATGGCCGTTTTGTATGAAAAACATTTTATTAATCTTTATTATTCTGCCTAGACTATCACAAGTTTTCTTAAAAGTAACTTTGGAGTCTGATTTAAATCTGCCGTGTCACTTGTTCTAGAAGGAAGTGCCACTCTTCGGTTTGTAGCCCCAACAAAATTAAGCCCCAACCAATTCATCTTTAAGCTTCCCATTATAGCAAACCAAAAAGGTTGTTTTATTTTTCTTGGTTTTTGATTATTGGTGGAAACTGTAATTCACAGTTGACATGTTTAGGTACAATTCTGTACGCCTTTTAGGATCAAAATCCTAACCAATATTGATTTCAACATTCATTAATTTACAGGATTAAAACTATGGTTACAACCATGATCATTCATTAATTAGATATGGATCAATTTTATTTAAAAGACAATGTTTTCTGATGCATTAAATCATAGATAAAACATACTCCCTTTGTAAATTTCTCATCCTTATGGAACAGCTGAAGCCAATTTTATTATTTGTTCTGTTTGCACTGTAGATGTCGTGTTTTGTTTACAGTTTATTTCAGTCATTTAAAACCTTGTTTAACCAAAAAACAATCTAATCATAAACAAATTCTCGTCTCCTAGTTACATAACCAAACAGTAAAGCACTAATCATGAAATTAACCATAAAATAATAGGAACCAAAAGTTGTCGACACAAGCGATCAGTGTCACCGGACATGAACTAGACACGAAAAACGAGCTTCAAAATTTAAAATGGCGTAGTAATGAAATGTTCCTTCAAGCTGGAAATCCCCGTGACATCAAGATGACGTAGAAGTTGCGTGCCTGGCGTGTGCCGCATTCTTGACCCCGAGGTCAGCAATTGACCTCCAATTAAAAACCAATCAGATAAAAGACATCACATTCTTGACCCCAAGCGCTATCCGTTATTGGAGATTTCCCGACCTCCGAGTCACCGAGTCTGTACTTCCTAGTTAGAAATCCTACACAATGTCATTATTTGTAGTCAATGAAGAGTGGTGGTCTGTGCAACATGTGTTTGTCATCAAGTCGTTTAAAAAAAGTAAAGATTCAGTCTTTAAAATTCAGTGGCAATTCCGTCTTCCGTGCATTCTTCAAATTACGTCGACGTGAAGAGGTTCTGTCACGTAGCACAATCATGCAATGGGTTTTTAACTAACACTGAAAAAGAACTAACTGGCCCTCCAAAGTAAGAGCAGACGCCAGTCAAATAAACATTCAAAAGAGTATGTGCTGCTTTATGGAACAGTCCACATAGGCCCGCATGAAAATAAGTGGCTGCTATGAACATGTTTGACCGTTCGAATACTTGAATTTTGAGGTGATATTTAATAATTTTCATCTCCACAGACAAATTTGAATTAATCTGTATAAAGTCGTTGATTATCTATACAGATAATCGTGACGGAACCTCCCCATGACTACCTAATTGTAAGAGTGCATGGAACTGCCGCTGAGTTGCAATGACTGAATCATTACTTTTTTAAAAACAACTTATTGACAAACGCACATTGCTCAGATGACCACTCTTCTATGACTTCAGATAATGGCATTGTGTAGGCTTTCCAACGAGCCTACCCCTTAGACGACCTGTCGCTGAACATCCGCTCAGAAAATAGATCCGTTTTTTGCCGCACCCTGTACAAGTGGAAACTCAAGCTTAATCGGTCATTTACTGGTGCACTCACCCTAGGCCTACATTCAATTCAATTCAATTCAATTCATTCCTCTGTTTCCTAACCTAACGTAAAATGTCATCCAATGTTACTAGTTTTAGTGATGTGTGGGTGGAATATGTGTGTCAAAATAACCATCAATGGGATCTCATTAACTTATTGTAAACTATATTTTGATTTGGTTTTATTCACAATCTTACTTTTTTTTAGATATTTGCATACTTCTAAAATTGCTTACGTATGTATACAGGGTCTTCCCGTGGTTTAAGGGCTCCTAGGGCAATTGAATAGAACTAAAACATCTTAAAATCCGGCGATAAAGTTTGATTAGCTTGTGATTTTTTTATTTCAAAGCGGTCGTCATAACATTCAGAGCAGTGCTATGACAGTGTTCATTTGAACACCCCACTGCAGACAAGAACAAAATAAATGATGCATACTGACTACTAAAGTGTAGGAACTAGGAACGCTCTGATGGCAGCAACAGCCCCGCTCCAAGTGGCGCTTATGCACAACGTTTGTTATTTTCTGGATGGTCCTCATTCTTTATTACTTAATGATAATTTCTTATGTATTCACTTTGGTTTAAGCACATTTAACAGTTATTCTTTGTAAGGCTTGCCTCAAGGACTTCAGGAAAAGCTGTTTAGTAACGCCTGTCTCTGTTGTTTAGTTTGTTTATATCTTATAAAAGTTGATAAAGAAAACAAATAATACTAGTTCTGTGATCTGTACTGTTCAGTGAAGCAAAAATGTAACTGTGTTTAAAAAAAATAATAGATACTAGAGAACCCGTGCGGCTCAATGAACCGCATAGTTTGAAACATAACGCCGAGGAAAACATTATGCTTAAATTTTTGAGTAAGTTAATTCTAGTTACATCTTAGAGTTGTTTAAACACTTGTTAGAAACTAATTTTAAATATCTCTATTTGCGTCGTCAAGGTTCATCTACATTATTTCTGCTCTCAGTTTTAACTGATAACTTCTAATTAATGCTAAACGATCTGCTTCAATTCGAGCTAACATTTTGCAACAAAGTTTTTCCAGCATTGAGAGAGAATTGAAGAAAACTGTTGCCTAGACATCCCCCTAATCAAACGAATTTTCTCCGTAGAGAATCCTGAAAAGTGGAGTGATATCAACCATTTAAAGTGCTCAATTTTTTACCCCCAAACTCTGGGTTATCAACTGGAAAGCCATAATCTGCTTTGAATAGGCTAAAGCAGCAACACCATTGATAGTTTGTTAACGTATTTTAACGTGTTGTGTGTTAGTCACAGTATATGCTCCGCATCAGAACTTTCTCATCCACGTTGTTCAGTGGGGTTTCTCAAAGTTTTGAAGGTATGGATTCATTTGTCGAAATAGGTTGGATAACTCTTGTAGCTATAAGATTTGGATAGCAATTTTAATTTTCTCTTTTTGAACGGCGTATATTATTTGCCTCTCCTGAATCATAAAAATAAACGACTGTAACTACTCGGTCGTTGAATACATAAACACTAATTCCTTCACTTATGTCTAATATTGCCACTAAAATTCAGTCAAAAAACTTTGTATAAGTTTGTCCGAGGAACTGGCAACATAACCTAGAAGTAAACAATCCATTTGTGTTTTTCCTCAATTAAAGTAGAGCGAGTAATACAAAAGTTTACAATAAAAACATAAGGTCCGCCAAGATTTGGTATAGGCCTAATCTTACTACTTGAACTTATCAACTCAAGGCATTATCATGGTTTCTACTAAATGTTTTGAAATATCTCGAACTGTCAGTGTCATAAGAATTTCTTGCATACATTCATTTGATCTGACATTAAGTAAGTTTATTTTACCACCGTGACAACACTATGTGCTTCGTATATTTTTTGACTTCCAAAGTAAATTGCATAGCAGAACTGGCAAATATTATTCATCTCACCAAGTGAATGTGTATATGGATGTGTGTGTTGGACCAGGCCTCTCTTTTTCTACTCTCCTTATACGCGTAAGATACCTTATTATTAATTGTCTCTTCCTCCCGTTTTCAATATTTCTTCTTTGAACTTCAGGCATTTTCCGTTCATCCAACAAAACTGATTAACTGTTTAACTTGGTCTTAACCTACTGAATATTTTAAACATTAATATTTACTCCCAAAAAGCTAATGAGTTTCTTTTTATAAACAGCTGTTTTTTTTGTTTTTAAATTTGTTCTATGTATTTCTTATGGGGAAAACCCGACCTTTGAGAGGGTCTCACGTCCTTAAGAGTAGAAATTTTAAAGTTCTAAAACCTTATTGCAAAACTACATATTGAGAAGAATCTTTTGACACATTAAACGTTGAAATTGGTCCACAAATAAGGGAGGAGTTGCGTTATATATATAGACTTCGTAGTCAAATTAGCTACCTTGCGTTAGGATTTAGCCTAAATTGAACGCTGTAAGAGGTTAATTTATCTGCTGCAAGCTTTGAAGGAATTTAGACTAAGGATACCTTAGTCTTGCCTGCAAACTATATCATATGGGCTGTTCTTCACGACAAAAACATTTTCCTTCCTGATATAAACCTAAACTTTAGAATCAGTAAACATTTTATTTCTGAAAAACAATAAATGTATTATTTCTGAAACAGAAAAATGTGTATGACAGAATGATGTCTCAGAGTCCTTGGACTAACTACTATTGAACAAAGTTCAATATAGTTTGTAATATATTAAATCTGTTGGTAGTGTTTATGAATTAATGATACAAGTACAAGTATATTATTTGGTTTTCATTATTATGTAATTAGAATTTCACTTGAATTACTAAATTATTGTTGTAGGTCCACTGATGGTGATAGTACAGAAGGTGACAAGTTTAGCATATAACCTTCATGATGGCATAACACAGGAAGAAGGACTAACTACAACACAAAAATACTACGCCATTAGGTAAAAAATGAAATGATCATTGTTAACATTTTTGCATTAGGCTAATAAAATGTTAACAAATAATAACTCCAAGGTTTTGGTAACCCAACACTCTTCTGGTTCCTTAAGCGTTGGATAGTTGAAAGTCAACCAATACGCTTTTTTCTAGAGGTGTGCGAGCCTGAGATCTTTGATTAATTTGAGTTTGAGTCAAGCTTTTGGGAAAAAAAAGGACTGTTGAGTTACAATGACCGTCGAGTTACAATGACTATCGAGTTACAAGGACTGTCAAGTTAAAATGCAAATTAAAATATCATTTATTAAAATGATGTATTTTGTAAGCAGTATTAACCCCTTCGCTTAAAGCGACGGCGATTCGCCGTCGTGCTCCCGCGAGCCATTGTGTGAAGCGACGGCGAATCGCCGTCCGCCATTAAAATCAATATTTGCCGAGTTAGTTCCCAAAAAATCCAACAGATCGCATATGCTTCTTGTTCTGCAAGCTTCAGGCTTTCATTTGGTTGTATTTTCGTCGTCCACAGCCTGCCCAATCGGCAAAAACAATCAATTGAAAATTACGATTTACCAGCTGACGTTGGGAACGTTGTCTTGGCAGCTGTCTGCCTTGTTTGTTTATGTTTACATCGTCATTTCACAACAGTATTTTATTTATATCATGTTGAATTCTATTTTTCGTTTGCAAATAGTTGTTTTATAAAATAAATAAGATGAGTAACTTTTTATTTGTTGATGAGTGTGGAAGGGAATTGGACGAAAGTGAGATTGCTAAACTTATTGAATGTGACAGTGACTCAGACAGTGATTGTTATTTATTTGAAGAAAGGCTTGAGAGTGATGATGAATTATTGGAAATAAACAATGAAAACGTAAGTGAAGCATGCAATAGTATAAGTATTGCTGACTGTGAACCTCAAGATTTAGCTGATAATGGTGTGACAGAGCATGCTAGCCCTAGGCCTGTTATAAATAGTGATTGTTTGCATGACCTGCATGTTAGGCCTAAGCCTGTAAATAATGATTGTTTGCATGACCAGCCCTCCTGTAGTTATGCCCGACCTATGTCCCCTCAAAATGTGCCTCATAGGCCTAGTCCTGTGTCCTATGAACAGCAAAGTTCTGATGATGAAAACCCTGTTGGATTTATGGAAAAAATTTACCGAGGTAGGGTAATTGCACCTGCACTATCTCCTACACCCAGTGAGGAGGCTGAGGCTGATGACCCTAGTTTTATTGAAACCATTCCTTGTCAAGTACCTGAGTATAGTAGAGGTGCAACTATTGGTAGATCAAGGGGAAGGGGAAGTCAAAGAGGTAGGCCTAAAGGAAAAAATCCTAGTTTAGTGGTACCTAAGCCTACTAAACGGTCTAAGGGCCAACCTAAAACAGCTAAGAAAAAGAAAAAACAAGGTTGGAAATGGACCAACACCATAGAAGACAATAGTATTTTCAAAATACCTTTTACAGGCTGTCCTGGTGTCAGGGCAAGCTTAGCAAGAAATTTAGGTCCTTCTCCATCTGAAGTAGAAGTATTCAACGCGTTTGTCGAGGATGATTTTTGGCAACATGTTTCTACAGAAACGAACAAATACGCCGAAGAGACAATTGAAAAAAATAATGCAAGTGGTAAAGATAAACATCTACTCTCTGAATGGTTTGAAACAACTCCTGATGAAATGGCATGTTTTTACATTCTATGTGTTTTGATGTCACTTGTGAAGAAAAGGACCATTCAATCGTATTGGGCCCCTACTGCTACTACTGAGACTCCGTTTTTTCGAAAAGTTATGCCTTTTCGTAGGTTTTTGCTCTTATCAACAATGTTCCATATTTGTGATAATAAAAATAAGCCTCAGAATGACAAACTGTGGAAACTGAGGTGATTACATGAATCAAAAGTTTTCACGGTTATATTTGGCCGATGAAAACATTGCAGTAGATGAAAGCTTGATGAAATTTCGTGGGAGGTTGGGGTATGTGCAATTCAACCCCAAGAAAAGAGCCAGGTTCGGAATCAAATTTTACAAATGTTGTGAGTCAAGCAGTGGATACTGTACAAAATTTAAAATATACACCGGTGCTGAAGTGAAACAAGGCGAAACAGTGGAAGAAGGGGGTGGAGACACTGCTGAGGGTGATAAACTTTTGGTGAGCGAGGCCATAGTCATTGAAATGGTCAAGGAATGTTCCGGTAATGGTCATACCCTCACAATTGACAACTGGTATTCCTCACCTCTCCTCTACTATAGATTGAAACATATTGGTTTCAATGTGATTGGGACGGTAAACTCTTGGAGGACAAATATGCCTGACAGTTTCAAAAGTGGAAAACTTGAGGTCGGTGATTATGAAGCTGCGTTTAGCCATGACATGATGGCCCTTAGATGGCAAGACAAGAAAGAAGTGTGTCTCTTGTCTACTTTCCACAGTAAGGGAGACAAAAAAACAACTGGAAAGAGAGACAGAGTCAGCGGTGAGGTGATTACCAAGCCTGAACCCATCCTCTATTACAACAGCTCGATGGGCGGTATCGACCAAGAAGACCAACAGCTTGCTTCTTTTCCTACGATGAGGAGATATGCTAAAGGGTATAAGAAGATTTTTTTTTATATTTTGGACATAGCTCTCTTCAACTCTTATGTTGTTTTTAAAAAAATCACCCAGAAGAAGATAGGATTTGCTGAATTCAAAAGTAAATTTACGGAGCAAGTGTTCCAGACCAGACAACTACCGGCCTACAAACGAAGAGGGCGGCCATCAACATCTGAAACCCCTCTACGGCTTCAAGCAGCTTCTTGGGGTCATTTCCCAAGACAAATCCCACCTAATGAAGTAAAGCAAAACCCATCAAGACGCTGTAAAGTTTGTAGTGCACAAGGGAAGCGTAGTGACAGTCGGTGGGAGTGTGAAATGTGCCTTGTTGCGCTTCACCTACCCGAATGTTTCAAGACATATCATACTAAGTTGAACTTTGCTTGATATCTTTTTGAGTCTACAACATGCAAATCAGTATTTTAAGGCAGAACAGTAAGATATTTTTAACTTTTATAGTCAAACATTTTTAAAAAAGGCAAAAATAATAATTTTTTTAAAATATTTTTTTTTATTATATGGTATAAAAAAATAATAAAAATACTTTTAACCAATAAAATGTTTATTTTTTTAATCTAAATTCAATTCTGATTAGAAAAATAACATTATTTGATATACAAATACAAAATTCTGAGTGCAGGTAAAAATATTGTAAGTTGTGTAAAATTACACAGAAATAATTCATTTTTTTGGCCCGGTTAGGTGTAAAAATAAGTTTAAGCGAAGGGGTTAACATTTATAACCATAAATTTGGTGTAATATTCATTCATCACAATGTTACCACGGTAATATTCTGATTATTTTCTCTTTTTCCTGCAGTCCAGTGGGCAACACCTAATCCACTCGCAATCGCATAAAATCTGGTGCATCTCCCATGATTACAGAAGTGTTATCATCAATCTCCGCAATCACTGCAAAATGCTATACATCAACCAAAGTTGTGTGGATGTCATTAACGTCTCTATGATCATAGAAACGTTTTTCGCCGTCACCCATAACTGAGGCGCAAGTGTTTATTATCACGCAATTTTGGCAAAAACGTTCTGTGGTCGCAATCATAAAATCTTGGCTCGAGCTTGGTGCACGAGCTTGTAGGCTACTAGGCTTGGCTCGCCTCAAAAGTTGAGCGAACAAAACCCCTCTAATTTTTTTAATAGATTTGGTTTTTTGTAGGTTATTTGTAGATGTTTGTTTAATGCATTTGTTAATTTTGCAGAAAAATGCCATCGACATTGGAGTATTTTGCGTATATTTTTCACTTCCAAGTGTTGATGGCTGGACCTGTAGTGTTCTACAGGGATTACATAGATTACATCAACGGTGACAACTTCCTTAAGCACACAGACGTAAGTGATGCGGTGTTGGTTAACATGTTGTACTTTCTCAATTATTTGGTTCCCTTTGAACTCCAAACATTGTCTTGGGCCTAGAGACAGTACTGTAGGATAGACAATGCCTTAGACCGTGATTGATCACAGTTAATGGTCTACTGCATCAACATCCGTCCCATTAACAACTCCCAGGGGGTAGCTCCCAGTATGGTATAAGGCCTGAATCAGTCTCTGGTAGACCTGGTCAGGGGATAGGTTCCATCATACAGACTATAACTTATGATCTACTCCAAAAAATAGAGATTTTAAATCCAAAATAATTTTTCTGCACTAGTGCACTAGTTTTAAGAATATAATGATTTTTGCCCCTTTTGTTGTCTTGAACTCACTTTTTCATGTTGTTTGAACAAAAATACAGTAGAGTCCCGCAAACTCGGCATAATGTGGACTGGAAGGGTGCCAGGTTTGTGAAATGCCAGGTTATCGGGAACTAGGCTTAAAAATAAGAACAATACAATTTTTAAGCTTTTCAACTGCCTTTTTTATTTATATTACAAGTCAGTATTAAGTCATCAGATATGGTTAAACAAGCCCTTGGTGCCTTAGGAAATAAACAAATTTATTCTGTAGGCTACATACATATTTAACTAAAAAATCACAAATTTTCTGAACCAGCTGATGGCCGAGTTATCCAGACTGCTGGGTTATCGAGTGCCGAGTTTGCGGGACCAAAAGAGTAATTATTGATGAAAAACAGCATCTTTGAAATTAATTATAGCTAATTTCTGCTATCACACAAAATTTCAAAAAAAAAAATGTCTTTCAGTTGAGTGGTGACAACATGCAAGCCAAGCTAATGTTGGAGCCGTCGCCCACAAAGTGTGTGATTAAAAAGATATCAGCAAGTGTGCTCTGCGCTCTGCTGTTTGTCACACTGGTTTCATCGTTTCCGATCAGCAAAGTCAAAGGTGACCTAACTTAAAAAATCCCAAATGTTTAATCTAGAATTATGCTAGCCTGTGATTTAATTATGCAGGCTAAGAAATTTGAAACAGTAAAAACTAGTTGAAATGTTTCATATTTTTAATTGGCAATTTAGTGTTTATAAGTGGACATAACTCAGTTTTACCATTCAATATTAGAATGAATGAATGATTTGTTCCAGAAAATTGCTACATGAATACAAATGTTAACAATTTTTGCAATAACTATTTGTTTTAACCTGTGCTCGATTTGGGGGGAACACGGCAGAACGGAGTTCCGGTACCTCTCTTTTGGAAAGATAAAAATATTGGCAAATTCAAATTGGTACTAAAAACATTAAGAAGGTTACAGTTCCGACACCTCTTTTTATACAAATTGAGCACTGGTTTTAACCAACATAAAGTAATTTAATAAAAGAATATACAGAGAGAAACAAATAATGAAAACATTGAACTTGAATGTTGATTGATAAAAGCTAACATAAAAAACATAAATAAACTGTATAATTTGGAGATAGTTTCATATTTTGGTAGTTGGTCTAAGGAATCAGCAGAGCAGACATTGACACACACTTAGGCGGTCGACACACGGGAAGTGAAACCCAACTAAAGTTGAACCAACTTTTTTGTGATGCGATTACGATTGCAGTTGCGTTGGTTAAATCCGCACACGGGCGCGACTGTAGTTGAGTTGAGACAGTAAATGAGTTCTAATTTTGTTATAACGATACTGTGTACTGTGTGTGGTGAATGAAATGAGTGGTAGTGATTAAGAAGCCCTGGTGTTTTATAGACAATCAAGAAAGCGTAGAGGACGTAGAAAGTATTGGGTACATCCTTATGTTAAAACAAATATTCAATGTAGGCTCTTTGTAGCTGCCGCTGCATTACAAGAAACAGACGCAAAATTTCAGTCTATGTACAGGATGTCACAAAGTACTTACAAAAAGTTATCGCAGTTGGTATGCCCGATCCTTGCAAAGCGCAATACAAATATGCGAAAAGTTGTTCAAACCAGGCGACTGAAATCACCTAGCAACCGGCAGGTCCGGTTGCTTAACGACTGATCGCCGACTGGTCCTCAACTGGTCGCATCGCAGTCGCACCGTGTGTACTGTCCCACTTAACTACATTGGTCGGGACGCAGACGACTAGTTTGTCCAATTAGTTGCCGATTTCAGTTGGAAAACAGTCTTCCCGTGTGTCGACGGCCTTATATTTAAGACGTCACTATCTATACTATTATAAAAAAGAGGTGGTGTCTGTGTGTGTGTATGGGAAAAGTAAACGCGAAAACTACTGGTCGGATCGGGCTGAAATTTGGCATGATGATAGCTCACATTCCCGATTAACATATAGGCATATTTTTATCCCAAAAATCCTTTCGGGCTCCGCCCCAGTGGCTCTGGAGTTTCCCATGTTAACCTTATGAGAAATGAAATTATTGAATCTTAACAGCTGTTTCAATTAAACAAGTTGGTTCTGTTCTGTGATGTTCAATAGCATTAAAGTTACAAGGATTACCAACAGGGTGCAGCACTAGCACTATTATTTCTTTTACATTTATGACAACAGCAAAAGGTGAGTGAGCGTAGCGAACGAACTTCAACCTGGAGGCGAGTGAGCGTAGCGAACGAGCTAACCTGAAGGCAAGTGAGCGTAGCGAACGAGCTAACCTGAAGGAAAGTGAGCTCAGCGAACGAGCTCCAACCTAAAGGTGAGTGAGCGTAGCGAACGAACTTCAAAAAGAACCGAAATTTCTTAAACCATGTCCTCACTCATAACTGCTACTTATATGCCAACCCCGTACGAAGGACGGGTACTCTGCTAGTAATCTATAAAAGACTTTTAGCTCACTCCCTTTGGCAAGTTTTTGTACTACTTGCGATACAGTCTTTTAATATAATATCTGGCTCTCTAATTCATTAAAAGCTGTTCTAGGATAGACTTTATAAAAGAGACATTATTCGTTGTTTCTTCTTCTGACATTTGTTTTACAAGTTATGGATTGCCAAATTGTATATTTAACTAGCTGTACCCACGGGCTTTGCCCCATTTTACTTCATAAGTGAGCTCGTTCGCATGGCTCAATCACCTCCTGGTTGAAGTTCGTTCGCTACGCTCACTCACCTTTTGGTTGCAAATTAGCTGTTGTCATAAATTAAAAGAAATAATAGTAATCCTTGTAACTTTAATGCTATTGAACATCATAGAACAGAACCAACTTGTTTAATTGAAACAGCTGTTAAGATTCATTAATTCCATTTAAATATGAGTACTCATAAGGTTAACATGGGAAACTCCAGAGCCACTGGGGCGGAGCCCGAGAGTCCGATCAGAATAAAAAAAACTTAGTTTTCCTATTTAATGCCTAAAGAATCAGTGTACCAAATTTCAGCCTCCTAGGTAAATGGGAAGTGGGAGAATTAGTGATGAGTGAGTGAGTCAGTGAGGGCTTTGCCTTTTATATATATAGATTTATTGAAATGGTCTATGAACGTTTTTATTGTTATTTGTATAATAGTTTTGTAATAAATAAATCATTTGGTGGTGAGTTTAATTTGCAAGAAAGAGTGCCATACTAATATTAGTTGCTTGTGTGGAAAATATTTTCAATTTAAACTTAACAAAAACTGTTGTTTAAATTTACTAGCAGAAGATACCAAAATACAATATAGAAGTAAAACAAGAACTCCTTTTTGCAGAACCGAGGGCTCATGAGGATCAATTGGAGCCGATGATGTTTATGTAAATATTGTACGAGAATTATTTATTAACACTGTTGTATTTTTTTATGAGTAGTATGCATCGGTATCGTAATATGCGTTGCTGTAATATTCAAAATATTTGAATTGTGGAAAGCCTGTGACACTATTGAAATCCAGTTACACTACACTTAGCTGACGAAAATTCCCTAGTGTTTATTAAATCTTACCAAGGATTAAAAGAATTAGCATAGTTTTCTTCAAGCTTGTGGATTTAGTAAAACATGCATAATTTTTCTGCCTATTACAAGGCTGTGGTCAATTTGTTGTATTTGGATAGACTATCAGTTAAAACAATGAATAATGGCTTAACCTAGTTTTGCTGTAGCAGTAGTGAAAGTTGATATTATGTTATTTAACTCATTACTCAGATTTTAATTTATAAGATTGATTAGTTTCTCAAGTGTTCCATATTTTTGGTGTGTAGTATTTCACAAGCTTAGTAATTTTTAGTATAAAACAACAAAGTGGTGTGGCTTACAGAGTTTTTTTTTATTTCTCTATTATTTGTTTATGTTATTATGTCCTTTTATGTATTTATTCATTTATTGTTTCCATTTTTCACCCAAAATAAAGGCCAAAAAAATAAAAATCTGTGTCCTTCTCTATGGTAATTTAAGAAGAAGCAAAATTAAGCTCACTACCATCAACTTCCTCGCCGGACACAGTTTAACGTGGGCCCACCACCCACTCAAGCTTTAAGGTGGAGCTAAGCCTCTTATTAGGAATCTTATTATGGATTGTACATGTACGGAATTCTAACCCGTGCATGTAGAAAGACGTCAACACCACACTTGTCACCTTAGCCATCTGAGCTACCTTGCTACCATCAGCCGAACGGGTCAATAGCCTCTATAAGCACTTGTTGACACTAGCGCTCACAGGTTGGATTTGGTGAACTACTTAGCGCCTGTGGATTAGCAGAACGGCTACCTCACCGCAAAATGTGGTGATGGGCTTCATACGTGAGTTGGCGTCAATGGGTTACGTAGTAGATGTTACTACTAATTTTGTCCAGATAAAAACATTTTGAGTTGAGATGGGTGTTAATTGGTATAATTTTTTAATTAGATAGTATATTAAATAATTTTTATTGTTTATTTACTAAAAAGCAATTAATTTCTGCTAATGTAGATCAATCAAATATTATAACATTTTATTCAATGTTGTATGGTATATAATTTGGGAGGTCTTTCTAAACATAGCATTTTTAAAAGGTTGAATTTATTAATAATAATTTATGCAAATTGTGTATCTATCTATAGTTCAATTTCCTACACCTAGACCAAAAAATTAGACAGAGAAGTAATCTTTCTGTTTGAAAATACTAATAATCACTTATTTGTAATATTTACACCAAAATATTTGTACAATAAAATAACAGTAAAGAAATAATTTTTAGGTTTCTGTCTCAAAATGGTTGACAGTGGTATAAATCAAACGTGGAAGATGTATTTTACAAATTACTTTCTTTTACAGGTTTAATTTGTTGAAGATATGTCTTTCAATGATTCTCTTTGAATATGTTTTTTGGTACATTACAGAAGATGAGTTCATAGATCGTACAAGCGTAGTGTCTCAACTTTGCTACCTCAGTATCGCCACATTGCTGATCAGGTTTAAGTACTACCACGCATGGCTGCTAGCAGACGCCATTTGCAATCTGTCTGGTCTTGGTTTTAACGGCTATTCATCCGACGGTTCGCCCAAATGGGACCTTATCTCAAATGTTGACGTCTTTCGATTTGAGGTGAGTAGTTTAGTTGCCTGACAAACTTAGACAATATTATGATGTTGGTAGTGTGGAACAAACCAACTTAGATTGTACTTTTAACTTGATTTGCTAGTTTTACACATGATTCAAGTCGGAAAGCCATGCCTTTTGTGACTTTGTAGAAGTGTTTAGAGTTTGCCAAAAAGAAAGATGCTTTGTTTATTCTACTTCTACTTAGGACAAAAACAGAAAAAGGAAGAAATACACACACACAAACTTATTTTGCTGGAAGGAAACACTAAGGAGCTTTTTTGTGTAACGTTTGATGATTTAAGTTTTTTTTTCCCCTTTCTTTTCTTTAGGTTACTGTTTTTCACATTACTTCAGGCTAGACCTAGAGGGGGTTGTGGCTCTATAACTCGTATAAAATCCATATTTATCCTAGTACAGGATTTCTTCGGAGTAGATTCCACAATCAATAATAGAACCAAAAATCAGTGTTATGTCAAGTGACCCTATTTGTTTAATAATAAGATTAACTCTTAATTAGCTAAGTTAGATAAATCAGCTAATATGACTTTTCCTTAAAATGTTGTAACGGTTACTGAAAATAATATTTCTTCTGAAATATGATTATTGTTTTTTTGCCCTAAGAAGCTAGGCACGAGCCCGGGATTGTTTTTCACATTACTTCAGGCTAGACCTAGGCGTTGCTGCATTATCACTTCGATAAAATCCATAGGTGATTTGGCGGGATTTGAACTTGGGACATCAAAGACCAAAGTCCTGTGCTCTAACCACTAGACCAGCTTGCTCCCCCTGAAATATGATTAGCGTACAAATGTGTTTAGGCAATAAAATAGTGTTTTGTACAAATTGGCAACTGACCAGCGGTTACCTCTAGCATGGTATTTTAGTATAACTTCAACCTTGTAACAAACACTGACCACTCGTCTTATCCCCAGTTTGGCACGAGTTTGAAGGAGACCATAGAGTATTGGAACAAAGGCACCAATGTCTGGCTGCGTATGATAGTCTACGATCGCTGTAAAAACTATAGAACTCTCCTCACGTACGCTCTCTCGTCCTTCTGGCATGGATTCTACCCCGGTTACTACCTAACATTCGCTGGTGGCGCTCTCTTTACCTTCGCTTCACGAGCTGTAAGTTGCTAGATTTACTAACAGCAGTCAGTTGGTTAGAATTACAAGCAAAGGAGGTTTTTAGTGTACAGAACATTGTCTTGTATAATTAGCATTGTGGCTTTGAAATATATCAAAAACTTAATATAAACAAACACCAGTGGTAATTTGTCCAGGACTTCTTCATTTAGTTTGAGTAAAAAAAACTTACTAATATTTTTTTGTATTAGTACAAAAGTATTCCAATATGAGTCATCAGTCGGATGTAAAGTGGCACATGTTGATCAGGTGCGGCACAGTGTCATCAGACACTCGTTCCAGACCAGTTCTGCGATGAAAAACTTGTATGACTTCATCACAATGATCACAACTAGACTGGTGGTCACTTATATCACCTTCAGCTTTGTTGTTCTAGAGTTTTGGCCCAGCTTTCGCATTTACAGGTAAGTCATATAGTCGAGTTTATAATACAGAAGAACTGGTGACAGCTCAAAACATCAGAAGTTGTTACAAAAATGGACATAACAAAATCACACATTGTGTTCAAAAAATCATTAAAAACCAGTTTTATTCCAAACAATGAATAATCCACCTTTTCAGTTCTAAAATTTGTATGACGAACGGGTTACTTCTTCTGTTTGTAGAGGGAAGTAATAATAAGGGCCTACAAGTTACCCTAATGATTAAACTAATATTGTAGACAGTTATTTTTTGGTTATTTTAAGTGTCATACTCTTTGGCTCTTTTAAGGTTATATCATGAGTATTCTCTCATGGTAATAATTGTATATAACGTTACTAGTACTGAAAATAGGTGTTTACCGGGCGAGTGTGGTCGTTATCATGAGTCCGGTAAACACATTTTGGACAAGTGGCGTATGATATTTTATGCCATACTACTCTAAGCCAGCTTAACAATAAATATCTGTAAAAGCCTTATATATTTCCACCGACTAAAGGACTCACCACTAGGGATGGACGGGTCCCGAAATTTCGGGAATTTTTCGGGAAAAAAATATTCCCGATTATCGGGACGGGATTACATTTGATTCGGGAATTTTTCGGGACGGGATTTGGTCCGATCGCCGGCGATTTTGCCGCTTCGCGAGTGCCAATGACGCCGCTATTGCGAGCGATAGGTCCGCGAACGCAAGAGACGAAGTCGTTTCAACGATCGCGCCGTGATCGCGAGTCATACCGACGATCATGCCGTGACCGCGAGTCATACCGACGATCACCCCGTGACCCCGGAGTCATACCGACGATCGCGCCGTGACCGCGAGTAATACCGACGATCACCCCGTGACCGCGGAGTCATACCGACCATACCGACGATCACGCCGTGACCGCGGAGTCATACCGATGATCACGCCGTGACCGCGGAGTCATACCGACGATCGCGCCGTGACCGCGAGTCATACCGACGATCACCCCGTGACCGCGGAGTCGTACCGACGATAACACCGTGACCGCGAGTCATACCGACGATAACCCCGTGACCGCGGAGTCATACCGAAGATCGCACCGAGACTGCGAGTCATACCGACGATCACCCCGTGACCGTGGAGTCGTACCGACGATAACCCCGTGACCGCGAGTCATACCGACGATCACCCCGTGACCGCGGAGTCATACCGACAATCACGCCGTGACCGCGGAGTCATACCGACGATCGCGCCATGACCGCGAGTCATACCGACGATCACCCCGTGACCGCGGAGTCATACCGACAATCACGCCGTGACCGCGGAGTCATACCGACGATCGCGCCGAGACCGCGAGTCATACCAACGATCACCCTGTGACCACGGAGTCATACCAACGATCACCCCGTGACCGCGGAGTCATAGCAACGATCACCCCGTTACCGCCGTCATTTTGGCGATCGCGCCGTGACCGCGAGGCCTTTCGACCGCTATAGGTACCGAAAGTTCGATGTTTCTATAAGTACCTGAAAAATTGCCCATTTTTTGGTTTTTTATAGATCAGTGCCACAAACGGTAAAGATTGATTTCGTATGCCTTTTTTGGTAACTGCAATACTCAAGACTTTCTTTTTATGCACAGAAAAAAATCCCGTCCCGAAAATTGGGAAGGAAATAAAAATCCCGTCCCGTCCCGTCCCGAACTAAAAATTCAATCCCGTCCATCCCTACTCACCACCTAACTACCACTTACCACTTATCACTTACTTCAACCCACACACTAACCACCAGTGGACCAATCACTTCTCATAACCTCAAAGAGAGGTTAGGGGTTTGTTTATAACTACTCATTGCCAAATATAATCAGCTGGTTGGTGTCCGGTAAAAACTCATTACAGTACAGTAGTACGTAATGAAACCTTATTTGATTAAGCTGGCAGCAAACAGCTGTTTTCTGGACTGAATCTTTGCATGGGAAGTTTGTTAAAACCGTGTAGTGTGGCGTTATAGACATTTATAAATGTTATGACATGTTGGTATGTCTTAAATTACGTCCCTCCTGCTCGTACGAAAGTCCAAGATGGCAAACAGCCCAATCACAGTGTGTTTACAGCTCCTGGGTATCCCTGTAAAGTCCCTGATATTTCAGTTTGCTACTGGGCCTCTTTAACTCAACAAAATTTAAGTATCTCCAATTTTCTTATAAAGTAATAGGTACAATGTCTGAGCCCCAAGACATTATTATGCTCAGTGACGGCAGAACCGGAGGGTCAGGGGGTCAACTGACCCCCCTGAAATTTTAGGAAGGGTCAGAGGGGTCAAGGGTCAGGGGTTCATTTAAAAAAGTGTAAGGATATAAAGCTTTCTGTACTGTATAAGTTTATTTTTTGGCCCAAGAAGAAAAGTATAAGTAGGCCTAACAACAGTTACTGAAGATAAGTACAAAGTTAAATAATGTTGTTGATAATAATCTATTACATTAAATAGTGTGCCTCAAGAAAACAAATTATATTTGTCTGAAGTAGTAAAGATTGACAAGTTGCTGCTTGTCTTACCAGCAATTACGTGTACACACTTACTTGGTTACACCCTACTTTCTTACAGTCAATTTTAACTTATTACTTATTCAGTTGTTTAGGGGAGAGGCAGAGCCGGCCGAAATTACCCAAACACATATGAATCCCTAGGGCCTAGAGCTTGTTTACTTACAATGAACAGAGTAGCGTCTTTGTTAAATTGTAAATTTTCTTTGTTACTGCTTGAAGAAAAATGGTCTGCAGGTAGCCTAAAAACTTTTTAAGGAATTGATTTTTCTAAGTTTTTCCCATCATAGGTTCTGGCCCCCTAACAAAAATCTGCTTCCACCACCCCTGATTATTAGTGGGGTTGTATAGTTGCATATAGTGGCAGAATATTTCAGTTCTGGCGGGGAGGCTGCAATTTTACATGGTTATACTAGTTCCTGAACCTAAAACCGCCCAGACCCCAATTTTTTAGGACCTCGGTCATCCGTAATGACGTCATCAAGATGGCGGCTGTAAAAGGATGCTGGGTTGCCATGAATTGGTTATAACACTCAAATGCCTAACCGATTTTTATGAAATTTGGCACACAAGTGCTTGAATAAATTATCTCGGCACAGGTTGTCAATGGTCGAGTTTGATCAAGTTGTTTCAAAATGGCGGCCGTTACTAACTTAAATAATAATAAAATTTCAGTATTTATTTGTTCTCAACTCCCTCCAGAGATCTGCGGCAACCTATTCATTTTCCTTGCAATCAAAGGTTGTGATGCCGTCCCTGCATTTCATAGGATAGGCAAAACACCCCCACCACAGCAAACCTGCATATTAAGTGAGTTTCCATTTCCCTGATTTGATTTTAAATAAAATCAATTTCAATAACATTAGGTTTCATGAGTAGGTCTACCTAGGTTTGCTGCTACAGGGAGAGTAATAAAGTGATTTTTTATTAACATATTAATAGCTTAGTTTCAAATAAATCAATTTGCCAAGTTTCATTAAAATATAATCACAAACAAGCAAACTACAACCGTTTATGTATTCTGCGTAATAATAACATGGAAATTTAAAATTTACAATGTTTTAAATTTTCTTGGCAACCAATAACCTTATGCAAACACTTTAATGCACTAAATTATTTGTTTCATTAAGCTCTACAAAAAAGTTTAGAGATAAATTATGTAATTTCATGTTTTGAGAGTCAAACATAAGAAACCCACATTTTTACCCTTTAAATCCCCCTAAAAACCCCGTTCCCATGGCCCGACCACGCTGGTTCGTCGTTCGAAGAAACCAATTAAGGTAGAAGATACCAATTAATTTTTTTACGCGAACTAGCATGACCGGATTATGGAATCGGGGGTCCCCATAAACCCCCGGTTTTATGGGGTAAAAATTGGGTTTTCCCATTTTGGAGCAAAAAAAACATAAGATTTGGCAATTTCTTTCCCAACCATATTGTGGAGCCTAAAAAAACAAATAATTTAGTATATTGAAGTGTCGTTATGCGGCTAATGGTTACGGAGAAAATTTTTTAAATTTAAAATTCCCATGTTATTCTTATGGATAAATATTTAAACTGTTGTACTTTGCTTGTTTATGAAATATTTTAATCAAATTTGAAAAATGTATTCATTTTAAACCAAACTATTATATTTCACAAAAAAAACACGTTATTACCCTCCCTGTTGCAGCAAACCTAAGTACTCGTTAAACCAATGCTATTTAAATGGGGAATAAATGTGATATTTTTAAGGAGATATTTTAGAGTAAATCCAATCAGGCAAATGGAAATTCGCTTAGTCTGCAGGTTTGCTGCGGCGGGGGTATTATAAGTTAATTAGTTAAGGAGAAAATTCAAAACAGCGTACATAAATTTAAAATTCCCATGTTATTATTACGGAGAGTACATAAACGGTTGTAGTTTGCTTGTTTATGGATATATTTTAATGACACTTGGCAAATTTATTAATTTTAAACTGAGCTATTAATATAAACTCACTTTATTACCCTCCCTGTAGCAGCAAACCTAGGTATGTACTCATGAAACTTAATGTTATTGAAATTGATTTAATTGAAAATCAAATCAGGGCAATGGAAGCTCACATAGTCTGCAGGTTTGCTGTGGTGGGGGTATTTTATATTCTATGACATGCAGAGATGGCATCACAACCTGTGATTGCAAGGAAAATGAATAGGTAGCTGCAGATCTCTGGAGGGAGTTGAGAACAAAAAACACTGAAAAATGTTTATTATTTTAGTTATTAACGGCCGCCATTTTGAAACGACTTTATCAAACTCGACCATTGACAACCTGTGCCGAGATATTGTATTCAAGCACTTGTGTGCCAAATTTCATAAAAATCGGTTCAGGCATTCGGTTATTATAGCCAATTCATGGCGACCCAGCATCCTCTTACTGCCGCCATCTTTATGACGTCATTACGGACGACCGAGGTCCTTAAAAATTGGGGACTGGGCGGTTTTAGGTTCAGAAACTTACTATAACCACCTAAAATCACAGTCTCCCCGCCAGAACTGAAATATTTTGCTGCTACCCGACCAGACTATATGCTGATACATGTGTAGGTTTATCTTGAAGAGTTTGAACATTATAAGTCAGGTTAGATGTAGCGGGGGTCTGGGGTTAGCTCTGTCATCAACGAACCAATGTATTTAGTCAGCTGACAATTTGGTGTGTTTGTGATGTATAAATATTTTACCATAGTATAGTCTACTATAGATTAACATTAGCAGATTAGACTCTGTAGGATACGTTTTACATACAGTACTTTTATTTCATACATAAATTAACCCTGGAATCTGCTTGGTTAAGTATTTTCAACTTCAAAAACTCCAATTTGTATGTGGCAGGTGCTGTATCGACCATGAATCATCTTTATTTTTATTTTTGTAAATGTGGATTTTTTGGTAGGTTTGTCAGTAAATTGATAGCTTGTGGTTTCCAGAAACATGTACTTCAGCCTACACTTGTTGGGTGTTGCTGCTCTTCTGGTACTACCCATCTTTCCAGCTGGGACCCGTCGGCAGCCGTCTCCCATTAAAGATCAGTTCACCAAGGTCGCTTCCAACGGTCTTTCAGTCGGCATTCAGGGTTAATCTTCATCTTCTCATCTCCATCTTCTCACACACAACCTACATCATTCCTACAACTAACAGAGTCACTATGTTACTGTGCGGCTGTGAAATCTTTATTTTCTATTGTCTAAAGCTTTTATATTTCCTTGTAGGTATTGTCTACGCTAATTTAGTAATTTCTTACCAAGAGGGTTTGTCAAAATCATCCTGGACGTGTTACTCGTTTGTAACTAGTTGGTCAACGAATAGTATTGTACAAATGAGTACAAGTTTATTATTTTTTATACAAGAAGATATTTTACTGGTGTGTTTCTATTGGCTATTGGTGATATTTATACGTTGTTACTTTATACATAAATGTTTTATAACAAAAGAGTTTTATAGAAACACTTGTTATGTGATGTGATTTTTCATAGTATTTATTTTTGTTAGAGAAAGTATTTTAGATCAAAAGTTTGTTAGAGTAAAGATTTTTAATTGGTTTTTAGTATATTATTGAAATGTTGTTGAAGGAATCAAACTTACACATGCAATACTCATCTCGTAGTTTTCCTGTTTTTTTTTATTTTTTATTTAATGTTACTTTCCTTAAAATTATAATAGACTCTTGCTTTAAAACATTAACTACATTATGTACAGTGTACCTCACTTTATCCGCTACAGCTACTGAATCATTTAGATTGTGATTTATCTGGGCAAATATGGCATTAGTCAAAACAATATAATTATAGCAATAGTGCAGTTTGCCCCTAGGGTGCCAAATTGAAAGTGCAACCGTTGTATAAAAGTGTTTTTAAAAGTCTGTCTCACTGAGATAAGCCATATGTATATATAGTCCACAAAAAGGTTAAATAACTGTTAACTGTTGTCGCCTTTTGGTCCATGTTTATCCTACTGGATTTCGGTACTAAGGAGTTCAGATTTCTGGATTTTGGTATCATTTAGACACTTGGCATCGTCAATTCCTTATAAGAACCATTCTTGTCTGAAGAGGTGTGTCAAAATTTCATATAAAACACTAGTCGACTGTTATTTAACATAGTTTTACTTTCGCGACACGTGCACGAGTAGGACATATGGAGGGCCGCCAGACATGTGTCGAGACTCGGCTGCGACTCACTTATAATATAATCCTTTAAAACTGCTCCTTGTAAGAATATGATGAACAATCTTTACTCATTTTGTTTCCTGCTTTAGTTATTTACTTATTACCATTTTTGTGGTTATGTCGTTAGTATGTAAGTTACAAGCAAAAGTGTTTAATTTGTTATATGCTTATTCCTTAATTCACACACTGCTTTGATTGATCATTTTCAGCAGCCAAAGTCGTTACTTAGGCTTTAACTACTTAAATATTTAAAAGTAGGACTAACAAATTTTATCACATCTACTCAGTTAAAGGCTGCAGTTTCTTACAGTTTTTAGGGTAGGTACATTTAATTTTTTTTATAATTCTGATCTTTTGTCCACTCTATTGAATCAGTTTAGATAAAGTTAGGTATACTGTTTAACAGCTTATCCACCTTTTACTGTATTTTTTATATATTATTATTTTGTTATTAGAGAGTTTTTGCACTTGATGTTAACTAAATACGCTAAACGTTAAACATTAATTTGTAGTGATTATCGTTTACCGGCCTCAATAGCGTATAGCCACTATTTTACGGGATTTATCGTAGTGTTTTATTGTAAACGTTAAAGTCAGCTGTTAAGTGTAAACAATTAAACATAACCTAAGTTGAAAGTGTGTGCTAAGTTCATTTTTTAAGCTTGATCAGAATTTTTTAATTTGTCTTCGATAAGGATAAACATGTTTGAGATTCACCCTAAATCATTAAATAATAGTGTTATTAAAAGAAGTTCTATGTGAAAACTATAGAACTTTGATCAGTTATAGCTCCTAAAGCTGATAAAGTTCAAATGTCCTCTATAACTACAAAATCAATCGCAATTAAGTATTATTAACCCTAGCAGTGGCCAATGTTAGAAGTGGGGAATGACCAACCCATTTTGGCGATTTTGCAGACCTTTTTTTGAAAATTCTTAAAAATTCAACCGTATAAGTAAACCTAGCCAACCTCATATTCATTTTGTTCAGAAAGAACAGGAGAATCTAGAAATAGTAATATCATAATGATTTAGACAGTGTATTTTATCGGTAAAGTGAAAAAAATAAAAAGAATTTATTTTTTTGTGAAATTTCAAAAGCAGCCTCGGTATTTTTTTTCCTACGGATTTTTTATGGGAAATTCATTATATACATTTTGTAGACAATCTAATTCCCTACATAGAAATAAGTTTTTGGGGCGAAATATAATGACGAACAGAGAACCGAAAAAATTGAAAACCGTATAGGCCTAGTGTTAGTTTATGTTGTAAAAAGTTATATAATATATGTGTATACTAATAATGAAATATACATGTTTGTAAAGCTAATGAAGTAAGGAATAAAAAAAAGTCATAAAGTTTATGGTAAAAATAATTTTTTACCTATAAACATATGTATATAAAATAATGTTTTTATATTTTAGCGGTTTCGTGAGAAAAGAAAATTCACAGTATTTGGTATACAACTTTTGTAGCAAATTTGTTTACTTCAAACCAACATAATAATCTTGTAGTGTATTCAATTACCTACATACAAATTTATAACATGTTAGAAATATTTTTTTTTTTTGTACGTAACAGGGACATAATAATACAATAACCGCAAATCCGCAAAACAGTGTAAACTATACAGTGTTTGTTTTTGTTGTGAAACATCATGTAATATATGTATAAACTAATGATGATATGTACATATTTCTAAAGCTTATGAAGTAAGGAATCCAAAAAAGTCATAAGTATAATGGTAAAAAGTAATTTTCACCTCTAACTATGTGTCAATTTGAGAATGTTTTGAACTTTTTGCGGATTTTGAGAAAATGGAGTGTACAGTATTTAGTATATAACTTTTTTACCAAATTTTTTACCCCCAAACCAATATAAACATGTTGTAGTGTATTCATTTACCTTTATAAAAATGTATAACACCTTGGGTATATCATTATATAGCATATATAGCACGGCGAACTAAGGTCCGTCTCGTAGGCCTACAACAATCTCTGAATGTCAGAACCGTCAATTTTGGACATGATGCTAACAAAATACAACCTTTTATGAACACTATTTCACACAATTCAGTAATATTTATGCATAATAAAATGCATGAAGATTACTGTTATACACACACCCACAAACTTCACTAACACTAACACTACGAACTAATAACGTATTTATTTAGTAATAAATTGTGGATAACACGAGAACGAACACTCACCGGCAACAACACAAACAAACAATGGCGAATACAAGACAGCTGACAGACTGTAGCAGTAATGACTCACTTCCCTTCATGCGAGCATACAGAAATAACCCTGAGTGCAGGGCTGCCACTTTCTGAATCTATATTTCTTCCTCTTCAAAATGACATACTATATGACTAGTAATAATAAATTACACTGTATGTAATTCGTATTTTCCATATCGTCACCTGACGACCATTGGCCATTTGTTAAAAATTTTGAAAACAGCTGTTTTCATAAAATCGTACCGGTTGTGCAATCAATATTTCGTTCTAAATATCACTACCACAATGAAGATAAAATCAATGGCTATCCAGTGGTACCACCCGCAACATCCCAAGACGAAAATTACCCGAGCAGGGTAATGCCAAACAAGACGTGTTTTGCCAGTTCTCCAGTGTCGGCTGCAAAAGTCGTGCCGCGCCAAAAAATCATTTGATTTCTAATCGTCGTGACATTGTTATATACCTGCTACAGGGTTTGTTTATGTAATAAAATGAAAGTTCAGAATGTGATCTTTCGAATGGTATATGTTATTCTCATCTGAGTTGATTATAAGTGTTTTTTTTACCGTTAAAAAATTTCCGCCCATATCGTCACCAGACGACTTTGGCCATTAAGCATCAACGTCATATCCTCACCAGACGACGATTGGCCACTGCTAGGGTTAAACAGTCCTAACCTCTAAGCATTGATAAATACAACACCTTAGCTCCATTTTACGTTAAGTGTTCACGTTAAACATAATTTTTACAGAGATACAAAAACTCTAAATTTGTCGCTCTTATGTTAAACGCCAAACGCTATTTTTAACATTTTGCATTTGCATTTAACAAGATTTTCATGAAAATGCAAAACCTCTCTATTAATAGTGTTGGGCTTACACTCAACAACTGTGTCTTAGTATTATTTTGCTGCCTTAGTATTTGATCAAACACTCTTTAGCTATTCTTATTATCGCTAAAATTCACCAAAAATAGAATTTTATATCTTCCAGTTTTTTCTTTTATAAAAAAATGTTTTAATAAAAATCTTGTATTTTCAACAGTATTGTTTGTTATTCGTATTTTGTCTTCATTAACAAATTTTGTGTTGTACAGATATGTTATTAGTGTCCATATAGGTTTAGGTTTGGTTCGTAGTATTTTTTAGGTTTATTTATTATTGTGATCAGGTAATGTATGAGTAATATTAGGTGTGGTGGGTAAATCTTCTTCTTACTCTTTCTTCTGATAGTTTTAACAAATTTTTATTTTTAAAGTTTGAATAAAAATTACATTTATTTAGTGTTGGCTGTCGGTTATTTATTTATATCTCATCTGTCAATGTTGAAAACTAACAAATATTTTAGCTTTGTAACATTATTTTAATTTACAAGGTTGATTATTTAGTTCCTCTTTGTTTTGTTCAATTCTAAGATGTGTGATTAAAAAGTTATGAAATTGATTTTATAAGCCTTCCTATATTTAAGAAATATATAAGTAATGTAATGATTGGGTTTGGGCTAAAGATTACATAACAGTTTGAGTTTGTTAATATATACAATAGATGAGAGTAAGAAAGAATTTTTTTCTAATTATGTGAAAGCCGTGTTAACATTTTGAGACTAAAATTTTAAATGTTATTATAATTTAAAATAAGTATATTAACTAGTTTCAGTAGTTTCATAAATTTGGTAAATATTACCTTACATATATGCTTGTACGATTCAACATTAAAATTAATTTCAATTGAATTGTCAAGTAACTGCAAATTACATTTAGGTGAAACTATCCATATATTAAAATGCTGCATGTTTCTTGAAAACCTATTTTCTCAGCTTGTGTGCATCACAGGGAAAATCTACGCATACTGTTAGAAAGATATTTGCCTTTAGATGTACAGAATCCCTTTAAAATTAAAAAAAAATTAACATGGGCCTTATGAATTGCCATGCTGGTGACGAAGTAACAATGAAATATAAACAAAAAATCAAAACAAACGCAATAAATTTGAATCACATGTTTTATTTACGGAATGGGGTGAAAATATAGAAGTTTGCTCAGTACGTATTTTTGGTAAAGTTTTCGACCACGGGGCAACCTCTAGTTGTGCTTAAGTGCCTCTAGTAACTGGTAGTGAATTTTGTTGAAACCAGAAATTATTTTGAGTTTGATTAAGGTATGCGAGACTTAAAAATCATTAAATATAACTTTGAAAAGACTAAATAACCCATTTATTTACGACAATACATATGATTGGTAAACGAAAGAAGCAAAAATGATATCAGGAATCATCAATTTAATTACTTTTTTATATAGACAACATTAGGGTTATTAGTTTCTTCTTTAGTGGCCAGGCCTTTTATATTCCTCACTTGGGAGGTTGTGGAGGCCTAACTAAGAAATAACATAATATTGGACCAATTCGGTAGTCATAGTGTTAAAAAAGTTGTGATTATAGTGCTGTTGGTATTTAATTTTTGTAAGTTGGTTGTTGTTCTGTAGTAGTTGTTATGTATTTAACACGTTGTTGGTGATGATCATATGTGGATATTCTGCTGAGAAAGTTGACGATTTTAAAAACTTTTATTTATGTGAGAAATGCTTAATGGTATTGTCGAATATTTTTTAAACATTAATTGACAACAGTCCATAAGAAATATATTGTATAAATCGTTTCAGATTTTTATAACTATGCATTCTTTTGGTCGCAAAAAAATTCCTAAAAGAAAATGTTTGTTCAATCCCTGTAGAAGCTGCATTTAAGTATCTTGTGCTCGTTTAAGCCATTGTGGTGTAGCCTAATATTGAGCATTTCAATTTGTTTTCAATTTGCTAATGCAAACAAGCAGCTGTAAGAGATTAAATCAATTTGTCTCTTACAATTGTTTGTGTATTATACTGACGATATGTCAAACTATTGACAAGGATCCAACAATAAGCTACAACCAATTAAATAAATCAATACATGCGGCTGCTTACAATCGAAGTTTACAACAGTTGACTTTTATTTAGGAGTAAAAGACCTAAGGACCTAAAGACCAAAGGAGTAAAAAAGGTACTTTAGACCCGCAATGCATGTATTAAAATCAGCTGTTTTGCTGCAGTGCAACGAAAATCCTTTACGATTCTCTAAACTTTTTCTAGAAAATTATAGACCTAGTATGCTGTGATATAAAGTCATAAAATAGTTAATTTAAACTATACCATATGTAATGTTTCTACTGTTAATATTCTAAACTACATGAATGAGCATACTTTAAGATAGCCAGTTCTTATGGTTTTCACAAATAGATGAAAATAATTGTTTGCTGTATTTTCAATCTGTGTCATTTCTGAGTACTGCTTGTTTCAAAGGATATTTAAGGTAATTATTGGTGAATCACTTTCAGTGAAGCAATTTTTGTTGGAAATGAATTTGTTTAGATACCTGCAATTTATTTACTAGCTGGCCCGACAGACATCGTCCTGTCCTATTGTGGTTTTATGTCACATGCTCGTTCATTTTCAAGATGAGCTCGTTTGCATGGCTCAATCACATCCTGGTTGAAGTTCGTTCGCTACGCTCACTCACCTTTAGGTTTGGAGCTCGTTCGCTGCGCTCACTTGCCTTCGGGTTAGCTCGTTCGCTACGCTAACTCGCCTCCAGGTTGAAGTTTGTTCGCTACGCTCACTCACCTTTTGGTTGCAAATTAGCTGTTCTCATAAATTAAAAAAAATATAGTGCTGCACCCTGTTGGTAAACCTATTAACTTTTTAATGCTATTGAACATCACAGAATCAAATTGTTTAGCTGCACCAGCTGTTAAGATTCTTTAATTCCATTTAAATATGAGTACTCATAAGGTTAACATGGGAAACTCCAGAGCCACTGGGGCGGAGCCCTATTGACGGATCTGCACCAAACTTCACACAAACCATCCTTGAATAATGCTTAATAATGCCTAAAAGTTTCATTACAATCTGTCGAGCGGTTTTGGAGTCCATAAAGGACAAACATACAAATATACAAACATACATTGGATTTTATATATATAGATTTATTTATATTCCAACGGGAAACCCATTACATTGAAACATTACCAAGAAATAACAATAAAAATAACAATACATAACAAGAAATAACAATAAAAATCAAAGCAAGATGTGATACAAATACTACAAATAATTACAACAACAGCAGCAACGTCCTTTATAGCTCTATTGTTCTTCTTTTAGGATTGAATAAGAGTCTCTTATTTTAAAGTAGTATTCCTACTTTTTTCTTCTTACTCTCAACAAATAAACTCCTGACCAGATTGCCAGTTCTGAAGCTGAAACCTTTAGAAACTAATAGAGTGTCTTAGATTCTGCTCTTGGGTGACTATGGCAATCACAAATTGTTGCTTCTTTGATTGTGATTCATTTATAACTCAACTTAAATCAGTTGTTAAGTTTGGTTAACTATATTATTGAAACTTAAACAATGAAGAATGAAATAAACAATTTATGTATAATAGTCAATGTTTCTTTTATATTTTCTAAGGGTAATATTTGTACTCGTTTTAAGTATTGTTTAAACTTCAGATTAGCTGGTACATTTAACTATTTCTACACTATTTTATTGTATTTTACCTAGCACTTACATTAACTGTACAAGTATACACCTTACTGGCACAAGGGTACAAATTAATTTGGTGCTTTTGTGCTTTGGCAGTTTAGAGCCAATTTAACTATTGCTAAAATTTAGCTATTTTATACAATTAATAATCCTTATTTTTTCATTCTGTTGATAAATATATCACGGACATTTTTTAGCTCATAACGTTTCTACTTAACAATTTCTATACTTATTTTCAATAAAAAAAAATTATTTTGTAATTTGTAATTAATTTAATTAACCTTTCTTCCACTAATTCAACAACATTTCCCAGTTGCTGAGAGAATATATGAATTTCAACATAAAATCTGCAAGACTTTTAAATTGACACGACTTTTAAAAATTTTACCCTAAATTTAAATCAATTTATTTTTTTACTCTAAAACTTAATACATATTACTGATTTAAAAGCTATGGCTCAATTTTCTTCAAATTGGAGCGCTTATTAGTAAAAGAACACCTTAAAGTCTTCTGGTCTAACTAATTTAACAGATTTTTTTTATTCTTCTATAGTGTAAGGATTGTGTTAAACACAAATTGATTTTGTACATTTGGATTTGTTGACTAGCCAGTTTCAATTTTTTTGCAGAAGGAATTTCTGATGGCAAATACTACAGACCTGGTTTTTTTTTTCATAAACAAAAGACTGTCTATTCCACATGTAACCTATTTCTGTGACTTATTATTATAAAACTTTGTAAAATGTCATGACAATGTTTTGGATGAGAATGGAAATGCACTATTCTGAGACACTTATTTGAGTATCTCTTGTATTTAATGAAACACTGCATAAAAAAGTGTGAATAGTATGTTCAGAATTTAAATAAATGGTATCAGTAATCTGACACATACTTTCTCCCATTAGCTTGTCAACAACCTTTATCATGGTTAAGCGATAACTATGATATGTAAAAGGTAAAAATCACAAAAGTTGCATTAACTTTTGAACCTTAATTTTTACAGGAATGAGGGATTGAACTATTTTGTTTATAATTTAAGCACAATAACAGACAATTTTCGATTATTAGAGTAGTTTTTTTTATGGGAAAATAATAAAATGTACGATAACTTTTGGGCCGTAATTTTTACAATAATGGGAGTTAGTTATACCATTTTGATTAGAATTTAAAGGGCTAAAACTAAAACATACAACATTTTTATCAAAATCGTTCAGGCCATTTTTGAGGAAATCAGATTTTTCTGTTATTTCATGAGTTTTATGGAAAAATCACCAGTAAAAATAAAAATGTCAAGAAATTGAAAAAAAAACGCCTGGAGATACCATGGATTAGGACCTGCACATCAAATTTAATCCAAATCGGACCACAGGTGTAGTCTGTAGCTCTGTACACATCCACACATATAGACACACACAAACCCATACAGACATCACTTCGAAAACCACTTTTTTGGGTCCTGAGGGACCCAAAACAGGTATATCCACTCAAACTCGAAATTTTTGACGAAAACAATACTTTCTCCATATACTATGTATAGGGTGAGAAAGTAAAAATCAGTGAACAATTAATTAATCATGAGTAATGTAAGCTGAACAGTAAAACTATGTTTGGTATACTGTATACTCCTACTGTATTTGGCACATTTCTAACTTAATGGTTCTAATAAAGAAGTGTCAGTTTACTGTGCTGTAATACCGAATGCAAAGTTCCAACATTACATCTGTGCGAGCTACTTTTGTTTCAGCTGATTACAATACCTGGAGGCCAGTGCCAGTGTGTGCTAACTAGCACTTGACAGTCCCGCTCTCATCTTCCCAGCCCTCCCTGTGCCATTCATTAGTCTTTACCCCCTCCCCTCCGCAAAACATAGCACGTGTCGCAACCGTGCATACCTAATCATATTTTTAGGAATAGGTTAAGCAAATTTGCCTCAATAAAGAAGGATTTTATTTTAATTTAAGTTTGCCTGTATAAATTATTTTGGTAACCTTGGGGTTGATGTCGGCAGCTTCACATGTTTTTGGTGTGAACTAATGAATAGCCGTAACCTGTGCCACCCTTGTACCACTTGTAAACCTTGGAGAATGTAACGTCTCACACGAAAACTTGACAGGTTTAAATTTACCATGCAAAACTACTGCAGTATGTGCATAAAATTAATTCAAACTGAATTTCTAACCAATTCAAATAGTTTATAGTGTAGCCTATGTGTTAAAAGAAATTTAATTAACATATGTTCATTTACAATATTTGTAAACATCTTCAGCTCTATGTTTATCATTATCTATCTATCTATATATTAATAGGCAAGCATGTTTCTTTAAAACCTTTTTTCTCAGCTCGTGTGCATCGTAGGGAAAATCTACGCATACCGTTAGAAAGCTATTTTCCTGTAGGCGTGCAGAATCCCTTTATAAATTTAAATAGGCTCAAAGATAAGCACAAAAAATGAGTTTAAAGATTTGAAAAAAATAACATGGATCTTATGCGTTGCCATGCTGGTGACGAAATAACAACGAAATATAAACAGGAAATCAAAACAAATGGAAGAAACTCCAATCACATGTTTTATTTACAGTGTGGGGTGAAAATAGAGAAGTGAGTACATTACATATTTTTGGTCGAGTTTCGACCACTGGACGACCACTAGTACTTATTTAATATGCAAGCAAGATTTTTTGACAATTACTCCTCCGAAACTACTGAACCGATTGACATGTTTTTGGTCTCATTGGAAAAAAAGTAACGTGACGTTGTGCAGGAAACTTTCTTTTTAGGGAAATAATTAAAGAGTGAGGCCTTGGGGTCCTTTAAAGTTTCGTACTTCTCATAAGATTAATATGGGAAACAAAAATTGTTATGAAAGTCCAGCTGTTGTCAGAAATTAAAAGTGAGAAGAAGAACATATATGTCAATGATTGTAAACAGTCAATAAGTTTACTAATTTAAAAGTTTGCTACAAACATTTACTGACTTGGTTGAAATTAAATGTTTACTATTTGAATTTGGGTTGGCGTAAATATTACAATGGAAAAAAGCGAGAGACTAAACTAAACTATGGAAACATAGGAAAGTCATAGAACACCACCAGGAGAAGAAATAGAAACTTTTTTTAGAATTTACAATCATTATTATGGACAACCTAATGCGGCTACGATTAAGGCTATTTGTAGAAAACACTAAAAAACAAGATTAGCTTTTGAAAAATCAAAGATATTTACAAGAAATTGTGATTATATCGACCTGTTATAGTGTCATGTACCTACATCATGAGTATTTCCAAAATCTTTGAGTGGGATCTTTTTAAGTCATCATAAATTATGACTGTTATTTGTTGTAAAATAACGCCTGTAATACTTAGCAATTGCTCGAATTCGAGCAAAAGGGATACTAGTTTAAATTAAAGGTTCATCATCTATTTCTTTCAGTATCTTAATCTTTTTACATTTGGTCCTTCAAGCCGGATGAACGTCAATCACTCTATCCAAATGCCACTTTGATGGGGGACCCGGCAAGACAAGTTAACTCGAGGAGTGCGAAACATCAAACCGCTACTGGGATATGGAAAAAGCCGATTGTAAGTTGTGTCGTTTACAAATTTAATCCGTACTCTTGTAAAATGATAACTATGTATTTATTTCAATAAAAAAGGACACCTAAATTTTATGTAAGGCATCAATGTGTTTAGCTACGTTAACACATTCATCCTACTTTCAAATTTCATAATATAAAAGTTTCTAGTTTTCGTGAAATAAAAGATAAATGATTCAATAAGGAGTTTTAAAAAAGATGCATTCGTGATGTTATGTTTATATGAATTTTTTTATTGGTATAATCAAATCATTACCGGTACCTATTAATTATTTTACATGAGTATTTATATTCATGTTCCTACAGCATGTATGCATTAATTATTAATTGTGTTGGATGTTTTGTTTTAAACCACTTCTGTAAACAATTACTAACACCAAAAATACTCCTACACCAGCAAATCTGCAGACTTCAATAAATAGGTTTACTGGTTTACTGTGAGTAGGTTTGCTGCTACAGCTAGAGTACAGGGAGGGTAATAAATATTGTATTATTAGTTAAATGTTAAAATGTTGCTAAATAAATAGGCCTACATTTGCCAAGTTTGTATCAAATATTAAATACCAAAGAATAAACAGCAAACTATGACGTCGACAGTTGGCTTTTTCTTTGTTCCCAATAACTGTACCGAAATACCTCATATAGTACCACATTTTTTTAAGTTCTGTCAAAATGGTTTGGAGAGAAATTGAGAAATTCTATGTTTTTAGGGTCAAAAATGAGAATAGTTATTAGTGCAACTAGTGAGAAAAGTGAGCAATTGACTCACTCGAGAGAAATCCTTACTCACGAGCAGTAGGCGAGTGAGGAATGGTTTCTCGAGTGAGGCAATTGTACTTTGAACTCGAGTTGCACATTATACTTTTCCTACAGTTACCATAAAACAAATAAATTTGTGAAGAAACATAACCTATTTTTACATAGAAGTGAACTTTTAATATAAAATTTAACGTGAAAGTGACAAATACAACAGTACAACAGCTGACCAGCTGATTTACAGCCAGTGCTGCCAACGTATTTCGCGCGCATACGACGTTGCCTGCATGTTACGCGCTCACTATTTCGTGCCTTCACGTTGCAAATCTGGAGTGAGACAAAGTAATTAGAGTGAGACAATGTTAACATTGTCTCACTGATGAGCGAATTGGCCACTTTGCTTTCTCAAATCAGTGAGAGAACATGTACATTGTTAGGTAACTGTAGGAAAAAACATATTTCTACCGCATAATATACTTTTCCATTGTGTGATCGTGTTGCAAACTCATTTCAATAAGCCAGGTTTACACGTTGGTACCACATTTAATAAAAAACTGATGGTTTTTGATGGTTTAACCAAGAACATTTATAAAAAATTCACACTGCGTAATGGTGTCATTAATCATTGTTCTCAACGAGCTGAAGAAAATTATACTTGTATATGGTATATATGAATTTAAACTAATGGAGTCGAAAAAGTAAATCTGGTCCCAGGTCCAGGTCTTACCATTGATGAGACCTACTAAGGGAAATTCGCTAAAACAAAATTGAAGTTTTTTGGAAATTTATAATTTTTTTTTTTTCAAACTGCATTCAAAATGTTAATCCAAATGGGAAATGGAACAGTGTGATTTTTTTCCTAAAACAACAGAATCAAAAACAGATAATTTTTGGTTTGAGAGACCATAACAGAATTTTATACAGACGAGAGTCACTTAAAAAATGGGTTATAAGTCTATACTATAGGCCTACCAGAGTTTCACCCTCCACAAAATTACAACCAAAGAAAGGGTACGGTATCCAATAATATTTCACCCCAGAATACCTACATGAATAATTAATTATAACATGGATTAAATTGGGATTGCCCAAGAGTTTGTTTTTTACTTTCTTAGTTACACTTGCACAGATATAATATAAATTTGGTAATTACTAACATTTTCTTATTAATTTCTAACAATGTTAGGATTGTGGGAAAAATGTAAAGCTCATTATCTTTTAGACTTTTCTGGAGTAAAAAGTAACAAGTGCGTATGTAAGTTTTACTGTAGGTAAAGCTACACGTTGATATCAGACCAGCGATAGATGGATACATTTCAAGCCTAATCATGTATTAAGAGTTGGCTTGATAATCTAAAATAGTAAGTACAGTAAGTTATTCTCAAGAGCGGAGAGCAGTTATTATTCTTAGATGTTACAGCTGATATTTGCCTTAACTAAAAATGGTAGAAAGTAAGGAGGAGAGACCACGATTTGCGCTGTTAATTCTTTGAACTCATATTTTCTTTTCATCATGACCGGGTGCAGTGCAGCTTTAAACCGCTGCGCGACGCGTGTGCGCACTGTCGTCATCCTCTCGTCAGTCAGTGATGGTCGTCAGCTGTGAAGAGAAGGCATTCCGAAATGCGCCTTAGGCATGTAACTCTGAATTTCAGGGATACGCTCCGGCACCACAATGTTCGTGTACGGTTCCGAAATAACGTAGAGATGTAATATGATTGTACAAAGTGTAATTTCACGGTGAAAATCTGGCGTGAACGGTGCCGCGGTGGGTCGGGGATCATGGCGTCGATCTCGGCCGATACCCCAGCCAGCCACGGGCACAGTTTCAGCAAGAAAACCTTCCACAGGCCGACCTACTGCCACCACTGCACGGATATGCTCTGGGGCCTGATCCAGCAGGGCTACATCTGCGAAGGTAGGCCCGATCGCCAAATTAAAGTTCAAAAAATTGATTTCAGACGACCGGCCCGGGCTGTTTTGACCCCCCTCCACCCCTTCATAACTGGAGCTGCAGAATCCAGTTTGTATAGGCTATCATCTGTCAATTTTGTGTTAATCTATCATTATCGATAACGAGAGGAGGCAGTCAATTCAAAACAAAACTGTGATAAAAGGTGCTGACTCGAATCAAATCCCTACAAGGGATTACAACCTAACTTAAAAGTTAGTGTTTAACCTTTGGTAAAATTAAGATAGATTTAAGTTAACTAAAATAGCCTAGAAGTTAAGTAACTAAACCTAGGTAGGCCTACCCAAGTTCCATTGAAATGTGTACGGTACTTAAGAAGTGTAGGGCTGCACTTTACTTTAGGTCCTACACTCATTCGAATAAATAATATCTATCGATATATCGATTAATCGATTGTTTCATTCGATACATGGTTTGGTTAGTTAAATTAGGTAAGGTTAACCTAACCTAACCAACCAAACAATATATCAAATGAAACAATCCAATAATCAATATTTTCATTCGAATGAGTGTAGGACCTAAAGTAAAGTGCAGCCGAAGTGTAGACTAAATCCCAAAGATACCTACTTTGTAACTTAACTTTTGTGTCTTAGCCTAATTGCAATATCAAATATAGACCTAAACTTAGCCTTTAAAAAAATTGGCAGTAACAAAAACACAAATAATTTAGTAGAAAGCTCCAAGAGAACCTAGGCTGATTATTATTTTACTCACATAAATGTGCAGTGAATGGTCAAGTGATCAAACATCTAGGCCTATTCTTAGGCTAGACCAAGTTCTGTTAAACAAAGTCTTATCTTTCATACCAAAATCATAACTTTATGGCCTCTTTTTAGGCTCAATAAGTTAGGCCTAATAAGTTAAAGAGGTATAAGTTAGACCCTAACTTGCATTCCTTGTAATTTTTTGATCATTTTTCAAAAGACGACTTTGTAGGCCCTACTTAAGTTATTTTAGCATTTTCTACAAATTTATTTATTTTACATTTCAACGGGCAACTCCATTTTTACAGTTTTGAACAATATGAATGAACTCAAGACACTGACGATTAGGCTATGTGTAAATGTATAGCCTAAACCAAAATAAAATATGCGTGAGGTATAACTTAGATGGCAATGACAAATGACTTTTAGTGCGTGCAGTTGCTGATAATTTTGCAAATAAATGTTCCCCTAAAACTTACTTAGGCTAACTTACCTGTAGCCCCATAAAGTTGTCCATGTGTATCTTCGTCATTGATAATGTAACCTATAGTCAATGCCTAAACTTAGTACCCCCATTGTCGTCAGTATGATTACAAATTTAGTAAGCTTATTCATTTAAAATATCAACCAAAATTGTCCACATTACCTAGGCCTACTTAAGTACTACCTGATTTCCTGCAAGTTAACTTAAGTTATCTGTGTCACAGTTTCTTTTGCTTAAATAAGAGATTCTTTCGTTTGGTTGTTGTAACTTAATAACGTATTTACATGAGAAAATGCAGAATTAGCGGGCCTAAGTTTAATTTGTTGTTCTCCTTAAGTTAAATGTAAGTTAAGTTACCGGTAAATAATTAAATCCGTAGATGAAAATTTTTATAAAAAAAATTTCTTGGGTACCCGTAGTCCCATTCTAAAATAACTTTAGGGTTCTTTAAAACTTAGATAATAGAAACACAGATTAAAATGTCCTCTTTGTACCCTAAGTAGAGTGTTTTCCTCTGCAATGATCACAAAGTACGGCCAACATTTTTCTTACTAAACATCGCAGAACTTCTGCTGACATTCTAATTCACTGTTTGTAGGAATCAATGTTGTGTTCTTCATTATATGGGCTATTAACGATAAAAAAAACCATCATCCCTTTCTTCTACTTGGTGGCGTTCTATAACTGTTGTTTCCATCATTTGCAAATCGGTTCTTTCAATGATTGTTCAAGTAATACGACACTGTGTCAATACAGTTTCCTTATTTATTTGGTGAAATATATTGTTCCAGGATTTTCTTAGCCTGATCCCATATAAGATGATTAGATTTTAGAATTAAGACGAATACTGTAGCTAATAAATAGGCTACCGGTACCGGTACTAATTATGTTAACTTATGCGGAACAACTCGTTTAAATCCATTAAAATAATTCAAAATTTAATTTTTGGTTTAGAATACACACCTAGGTGGCGTCCTAGCAGTTATAATATGCAGCTGATCATTGTGTAAACTAATAAACTTCTTCATAACAACTTCATAAGGATGACATTGGAACTGAAAAACAACTGGGGCAGAGCCCGAGAGACTTGAAAAAATTTAAGATCAGTTTGCACACACTGCGACACGCTCTTTCCAATGAGATGTGAACTGTCAAAATCGGTTGAAAAATTGTAGAAGAGTTCGGTTGACAAACTTTGTATCGGTGTATTAATTATATAGATTATTTAATTGTTTATTAGATTGTTTAAGCTGAACCGCTTGGATGTTAAATCTGATCTTAGTGCAGAGTTAAATTATCTACAACTTTCTTATTAAAATTTTCTATCTCAAACGGTTTTTGAGTAAAATCAGTTTAAAGTAACAACTGTAAAAATTTACTTTTTCCCCATGTTTGCGTCTTAAAACAGGGCAGTTCCCGTTAAACCATGATTACCAAACTTTGTGTTTCCTTAAAGAGCAACATATTTTATAAAAAAAGTGAAAATAAATCATTGTTAGGCAGAACGATCACGTTTCATGGTAGGCCTATTTAATAAAGCAATACATCAAAATAATGTTTATTTATTTATTTATACATACCAACGGCAGAACCATTTAAAAATAATCAACAAAACAGTTATAATAACTAACAACAAACAAATAGAACTGTTTATAAGTTAGGCTATAATTCAACTATTTCATCAATTTAACTTATTGGTTTGTCTCAGAACTATCAACATCTATAACAAGTTTCATAAGTAAAGTTGTGGACATTACATACATCTTTTGTATTGGTGTTTTCTACCTTTGATGCTAATGTCATCTGTTGAACCCACAGTTCTGGTTAAGAATATATTACTGTGTATATTGTTAATAGTGTAAATATAGGCCTATGTTTTTTATTGACGAACTCATATGAGTTGACGCAATCCATCCGACATTGTCGGTCAAGGATGAAGACCTCAAGTATTTCAAGTAAGACCGACTGATCAACATTTTCTTAATTTTAGCCAGATTTGGTAATTCAGGCAGAAATAATCCACCATGGATCCATAGCCTATGATTAGCAGATGTAATTTTTTAAAGATTTGCCTGATTGAGAAAATTGTACAAAAATAGTTTTCACCATACCTTAAATAAGGTCTGTTTTTAACATATGAAAAAGCATTGTTTTCAAGCAAGTGCTGTATTAAATTATCTCAAACAATTACCAGAAGTAGTTGATCGTGCGTTTCGTGCGTTTATTGCTCGTCTTCATTTCTACAAACATCAGGCAGTTTTTTGAAAATGTATTCTGAAATTCTCCTTAATATGGCACTTCTATGCGAATTAGGTATTTTCTTGTAAAACTAAAACGTCAAAAACTACATTAGGCTAACTTGGGTAATTATACACCCCAAGTCGTTGCTTAAACATGCTGATCAATACAGCATGACAATCAAATGTTTTGTCAACTCGATACTATCATAAAAAAATATTTCAAATCTTACAATACGTTGGGAAGTATAGAACTTTGTTGTTTAAACTCAGGTGGTAGACCGTGTATTTTGTTGATATAGTAATAGCTAACTTAGCCTACATTAACATTAATTTAACAATAATGCTTTATTATTACTTAAAAACCACTTAAAAGTGTTTGTTTTGCTCATACATAAGCTAAACAATATTTTTATTTTATTATTTATTATTTTATTAAGCTCAATATTATATTTTTGCTATCAAACACATGTGGCTATATTTAGTCGACATTGGCACACTCAAACGTTTCCACATGAAACAAGCAATAAATACAGTTTAAATTTCACAATAGGATAAGAGGTTTACTTGTACTGTTTTAAGTAAATAATAAGGCCGCATGTTCATAATAGCCTATTTAGATGAAAATATTGAGAATACCTAGTTATTTAAAACTGCTGATTCATAAAGCTGTTTTAATTCCCAATCCATAAGATGCACTACATGTATTTTGTTTAAAATTATAAGGACCATACGGTAACATAAAAATTTAAATCAGTTCGGTTTTTCCAATAAGTCCATTTTTCCTTTTTATGGGGTTTTATGGGAAAATACAATAAGTTACAATAACTTTTAAACCGTAAATTTTACAGCAGTGGGGTATTGCATTATGTTGTTCGGAATTATAAGGATAATCACATACTAATTTAAATCAAAATTGTTTTTTTATAAGATTTTCTCTTATTTTATGGGGTTTTCATGAGAAAATTACATAATTTTCAATAACTTTTGAACCATAATTTTTACAATAGTGGGAGTTCTGCCATTTTGTTAAGAATTTAAAGGGTCACAACATACTAAATTTTTATCAAAATAATTCCGGCCATTTTTTAGAAATCCCATTTTCTTACCGTTATTTTATGGGTTTTATGGGAAAAAATTAAAATAAAAAAATAATGAAAAAAAAAAACGCCTGGAGATATTATGGATTAGCCTAGTGCCTACATACTAAATGTCATCAAAATCGGACTAGCGGTGTGGCCTGTAGTTCATCTCTAAGAGTCTTCATCACCCTGCGTTTTGGGGATATGACCTTGGGGGGAATGTGTTGAGGGCGGGCAAGTAGCGCGGGGTCATTATGCGCGCCATTCTGAAAACATCGTAAGCACACGAGTACTAAATCGACACGTCGGTGATTCATCTGCCGCCTGAGCCAAGTATTGTAAAAGACTAGTAGCGAAGTAGCCTCCGACAAAACATGTAAATTTCGTCCCCCGTTTTGGAGGCCGTTTTTCAACATATTTTCTTGAAATTTGGTATCAA